TGTAGGTATAGATTCGAAATTTATCAGAGATTACATTGTACCGTCGATATTAATAGTAAAACGTAGTATGTTTGTAGTAGCAGTCCATCATAGTTGGTCATAAAATGAAAGAGAACATCCATCGTTTGGCGTACTGTACAGTATATAACAGAGTGTCGCTATTCCTCTATCCTTGACGGTACAACTCTTCCCTATGCGTGTATTGAACGATTTTAGCGTTTTGATGTAATGTACAGTTTGTACAGTATATTCCTAGGGCATAAATATGAAAATCTCTTATAGATTGTCCTTCTAGCATAATTTGTTGTACTGTACAACTTGGCATTACTATAAGGTTGGCCCCCCCCCCCAAAAAAAAATATATAAACGAGATTACAGTCTAAACAAAATTGACATACATCAGTTAATTTTTGTGCAGCTGTGTATTGAGTGTATTTATTAGCCTATTGATTGCATTTTGCATAGTCCAGACGTGCGCAAATGGACTGGTATAATATATTGTAAATTGTATATCTTTGACTAGCATGCAACATCGCTACCGTACCGTTATTCATATGTTAATGTACTTTTGACTATATATATATACAGTATATTGAAAAAAAAACAAGATTGACTGACACCGTAATAAACACGAAACAACGCCGCACGTGTCACTCTATTGTACTATTTTAATTGAACAACTTGACGCCTTGACAACCAATCAAATGCTAGTCAGGGTGGAGCAATCAATTATGTACGTTCAACAGCTGAGAATGTTATTATACTTATCGTGAAAGAAATGACATCAGGCTCCAAGTTCCCTTGCTATATAGCCTGGCCGATAAGTCCCGCACACTACAGTATACCGATAGCGTTAATTTCAATCGGATCTCATCCAAGTCGTTCACTTTTGATATTGAAGCAAATTATTGTAGCATGGTAAGTTGCTAAGCTTTTCGATTCTTGCTAAAGACTGCATGATACCTTAACGGTATGATGGAGGTTGTCAAATAATTTATGAAATAGGATAGTTATTGCTAAATCATTGATTTCAATTTGTATCGATTGGATGGACGAGTATTTCTATGTTGTATCGCATCCATTTTTTTCTTGATTGCAATATGACCTGAACAAGATTGTTTCTACCTACCGTATTGACCTGTCATGATGATGATGATTGATTGTAGTAGAATAGTTGACTTCATGGAAGAGGAGAGAGTTTTTCCCAAAGTAAGAGAATACTGCAAAAACTCGCGAGCGTATTGCATCCTACCGATCCTAGTAACCGTAACGGTCTCTTCAACACCTGAGTCACGGAGTCCATTTTCCAGCATCGATCTCGTCGATACCCCATTGGTGTTGATGACCTAGAGTGCAATGATGGTGGTGTCGATTGATACTAGCGTCTCTCTCTCGTCTATCACTGTGCAGGACGTCATGTAGGTTGGTTGTGTCGTGTTGTGTCCACTGTCCACACTCAGTACGGTACCGTAGTGTGACGCGTATGCGTACCAGTATCACCTTGTTGTGAGTCTACCGTCCTCCAGTGGGAGACTGTGAAGAGAGTGCAGTTGACGCGTCGTGACACGATCGCCAATTCAAAAGCGAAATTGAAGCCAGCCGTACGCTCTCTATTGATGCTATTGACGATTGACTCGTTAGCCTATTGTTTACGACCGCCTGCTGTTGAATACCTTGTGTACATGATATGTCATCCATCTTCAACTGAAAGAACCGACAACATCAATGTGTCACTATTAGCGTAACGAATCCGTCAGGCTGTTGCCATTGGTGGCTTCTTTTCCTTGATTGAAAATAAGTCTATTCCATGTTTTCTACAGACTTTTCTGACGTGCATAATAAATTACTTTAGCATTGTAACATTGCTTGCATGATTCTCTTCTGTTGAACTCATAGAAATTCAAGGGGAAGGGGGGCAAAAAGAGAGAGAGAGACTACAGTAAAACGCCAACATTGTATAAATAGCATTAAAAGACACTGAAATGAGAATGATGCGTGGAGTACGTGCTTGTATATCCAATTAAAAAAAAAAAAAAAAATTGGGGGAAATTTTTCATTTCCCATTCCTGGACTATTTCCTGATACATTTTCTATTTTTATCGTCCGCTGTCCTAGGCTGCATTGCTTGTCGCTATTTTCCACTACAATTAAGGTTAAATTACCTTTTATTACACAACAGGCCAATCAAGTTCTAATCCTACTTTTTTTTCTATAGTACGCGTATCGTTCTTCCTTTTGACTGAGTTGCAAAAGTAAAACTTAGTATCAAAACTGCTTTTTTTTTTTTAGACTGATTCAGTGATAAATCGAATTGACACGTTGAAATCTGTCGTTGCATCGTCCCGTAAAAACTCAAACTCACTTTTTGGGGTTTTTTCTTGAACTCTAGCTTACAACGTAATACTCTGTTTTATCCTCAGCATATTCTTGCAATTTCTACTATACTTTTTTTTTTCTTGAATGTTTGCTTAGTGGTTCGCGGCCGATCCAACGACGTCGATTAAAGTGCGCTAATACTTTTTCGCATTTTTCTCTTTCAATTGCAGCTTTACCGGTTTTTTTTACCCAATTCAATCAGCCCAGTAGCGTGGTAGCAATTTTTAAAGGATCAACAAAATTTTTGATGCGAAATTAACTCTGCAATAATTAACCTCCGCGGAATTGATTTTCAAAACCATTTACAAGAAGAGAAAACATAATAGTTTTTCTTGGTACTTGAGGGGAAAAATCGACTGAACCAAACTGTTATTATCCTGAACATTATCAAATCATTCATAGGTAAGCAATACTAAAAATGGCGAACTACTTTCTTTTTTAAAATGACTAGGTTGATCTCTTTCAATTTCACTGGTAGTAGTACTATAGTGCATAGTTTCCATTTTATTGGCAGCTTTTAACCTATTGTATGCTATAGAAATTGAATTTTTTTAAAATGCTACCGCACGCAATCAGTTTAAATCTATCTCCAACCTACTTGATAGGCAGACGTCGTTGATTATTATAATAGAGCATACGCATAAATCAATCATACAATAATTTTCTCTAGGATATCAATCATCTCCTACGCGTATTATATGGAATACGCGTAGATTGTACTTTGACGTACTCCAATCAAAGTACATTTTCAAATATTCTGTAGCTTATGCCAAACCTTTGATATGATTATCACATCAGTATACCACATTATTTGATCGACTCCTATCGTTAGTACAGAATGTCCAGCCTTGAAGCCCTTCTTACTATATAGCGCCCAGTATCCGTCGCATCATCGTTCAATAAATCCATCCGTTTTATTAGCCTCATGCTATTACTGTATCATAGCTAGTATCCGACACGGCAGTGATATAATACACGTTTCATGGATAGGTACCGGCATAGCTTAACATAAAATAATATTGATTTTCAAGTGAATTTATTTTATTTTTTTACATTTTCTAAAGACGGCCAAATAAACTTTTTTTAACGGACTCCAAACTTCAATGTAGAGCGATATATCAACAATATCAGTATCAATAGAGCATTAAAACATTCTCATTAAGAGAATAATACGAGTATGGCATTTTTTTCAACGGTTTAACTAGAGATTCTAACCACTTATATGACTACATGCGTGCATAGCATACATTGATTAAAAAGCCATCAATACTTACAATGCTAAAATGCTAGTAATCTGTAGGCCTAATGAATATAAAATGATTTCATAAATTACTATTTTTAGTAAGATTATAGCCCATTTATATTGAAGCTAACTACGGTATGCCATATCTTTGTAGTATTTCTGACAAGAATTGATAAAGTAGTTTTTTTCTTCGTAGTTGTCTACATGAAAAGGGGATTGTATTTTTAGCAGCTTATCACCTATGCCGAGTACCCATGTGCTGTTATATTTCAATCGAGATAGGATCTTTATTTTTCCAGCTAAAAATCTTCGTCCCATTCCTGTATATTTACACCAAAGAACATAACTCTTGAAATTGAACATTTACAAATACAAAAACATATCTATTTTCTTAAAGTTATATAATAATAGACCGTCCTTTCCTTACCACGAGTATTTCTAGCATTCGCATTTATTTGGATATTGCAACCCTTTTCAAAAACGATTAATGTCTGCTGATAGAATTAATCGCCGATAATTAAGTAAGACTTAATATAGCCAGCACTCTAATTACACCAGATGTATGATAGCTTGGCCTCATAAGACATATAGAGTAAACAGCCACGTAGAAAGCACCAAGTGACGATAAGCCATTGTCTATCAGATTAATTTTATCCTATATACTTCATGATAGTAGAATAGCCTAGATAAGGATAATGCGTTCGGTAATTAATTTTAGAGACGGTATAGTCACAGAGACAATCATCAATTTGTTTGCAGTTATAAAATATTACATATAAATGGGATACAGTGATCTTAAAGTATAGTAGTCATTAAGCCTCAAGAGCAAGTGCAAGCGCGATATTGGTAATTAAATGGGGAAGAAAAAATGTATTATAAAAATTATAATAATAGCAATCAGGAGGGGGTATAAGGGAAAAAAAAATTGATCATAAAACAATAGTTATCATGCCTGTAAGCATTATTTTACTTTTACTCTTACTTTCAATTTCTGCTAGTTGGATGATGATCGATGAATGGAAAATAAATTATTTGCTGCCGTAGAAATTCATTCTTTCGCAGAGTAGATGCACATGCCCTAGCGCCTATGTATATTATTATTTTTGTTATTAAAATTCTTGAATTCTATCTTAAATTATAAGAAGAACTAATATATTAATGGTTTTATTGTTCTCTTTTGACTTTTTTAATTAGATCGTTTCCTTCAATATAGTGCAACATTTATTACTTTGCTCGGGCATTGAGATTTGGCTAAGATTATTTTCCGAACATTTTTGTCCATAAAATTTTTGATATCAGCAAGCCTTTTATTCATTTGCATAATAATCATTTTATATCAGAAAGAATTGAAATAACTCACAATTGAACAATAAAAATCAACATGGTTGAAGCTGATCTTGATAAAATAGCTAAGAAATCCAGCGTTACTTTACCCAACATCACATCTAGTCAAAATGGTCATGACAACAACAAGAAAGAGCATCATCATCATCATCACCATATTAAGCGACCTATGAATGCTTTTATGGTATGGTCACAAATTGAACGTAAGAAAATGTCAGTTCATCATCCAGATATGCACAATGCTGAAATTAGCAAACGATTAGGCAAAAGATGGAAGTTATTAAACGACGATCAAAAGAAACCGTTCGTTGAAGAGTCTGAGCGATTGCGCGTTCAGCATATGCAAACATATCCAGATTACAAGTATCGACCTAGGAAAAAGAAGCCAAAAGTAGCAGCAAGTACTGCTAGTAATAATCACAAAGGCAATAATAGTTGCGCCAGTAGTACTAGCAGCATTAGTAGTACCGACAGCGGAATCAGCTCTACAGATTCAAAACAAAGTAATCATATCCTCAATGGCAAATTCAATAGTAAAAGCAGCAACGGAAGTAGTAAAGCATCAAATAAGCATAATAGCAAATCAAACAACGAGCTCAGTAATCACAACCATAGCAATTCAACTGTAAACGGCAGTAATAGTACAACAGCTTGTAAGATAAAGTCAAATCAAACCAATCAACAAAGTAAAAATTCCAAAGTTAAATCGAAAGGATTAAATGGTTTCATCAAAAATCAAAATGATACTAGCAAAAATAATAATAATAATAAGAAAAAGGCAGATTTACCGACTCCAGCAACACCTCCAGCTAAAGTACCAGGTTCACCAACACCACTTGAACAACAGCAACAATTTGCAGGCATTTCTGAAACATTTTCATTTTATGATGACGTTATTTGCGCTCCAGGTCCTCAAGAATTTCAACAAGAACAGTTACAAGATCAATTCAATCAACAATATAACAATTTTGATACTAGTGTCAGTACTGAGACTGAAAGTGATAGTCTAAATAATGACGAGCTATCAGCCGATTGGTCATCTCTAGATATGATAACTTTAGATCAGGCATTAGCTATATCTCCTATGGACGATAGTGGTGAGATCAGTGTTTTCGATTTTCCCGAAGATCTGTATACAACACCTGAAGTCTCCGAATTAATGCAAGATCAGTGGTTTGAATCAGGCTTAGGACCATTAGCTTAAATATATAGCCTATGCGAGAAGCAAAAATGGTACTTTTTCTGGCTGTCAAGTCATAAAATTTTAATACGTAATTTCATATCTTGTAACATCGTAACAGTAGTCAATTGAAGTCGTTAACTTTTTTCATTTTCGAACAATTTTTTACTTTATCATATGTCCACATGTAAAGTTAACATCAGCAGCTATCGAAAAAAAGTATAATTAATTAAAATTCTACTTCGGAGACTGTAGCTAGCCAACATACAATAAGTAATTAGTAAGATACTCCTCACTAAAATGATAAATTCATAAGCAAATTTAACATCAAAGCCATTCTGAATATCTTCAGGAAATTCTTATGAAGTGAATCGCTCATTTCTAAACCATAATAGTGATAAAATATACACCACACCGGTAACATTTGCCTATATTATGAAAAAATGACAACTGTAATGGTTTTAATACATATTGAAGTTAAAGACATCACTAATTGATGAACTTATGATACTTATCAAAGAAGCATTGAAGGAGAACCTCAAAATTGTCAAGCGGAACCAATAATAATTTTAGTTAGCAATGCTGTATACATGATCCGCACGACAAAACATAAAACAATTTAGTGTCCTCGATATGCTAACAGTTGTAATATATTAATATTTTGTGCAACGAGATTTCGCTGTTTTCTTTTTAGAAGTTGTAAACAAAACACTTTTACACTTATGTATGTTAATTATTGATACTATCACATTTTGTAACAGGTTAATACCTTTCGAAGAATTTTTAACAACATTTAAATCCTTTGATGCCAGAAAGTACAGTTCTAACTAATTTCTAAACTGATATATACTACAATAAGTTGTTGCACTGTACGATATACTGAAATCGATTTATATTTCATTTTTACTGACAATGAGACACTTTGAGTCACTTTATGTTACAAAATTCTGTTTGTACAATCCTATCTGTATAACGCTGTACGATGTATTGATCAATATAATTATGAAACAGCATATGCGATAGTTTTCGAATGATTTTTTTTCGTACTTGAATATTTATTTGTAAAGGTTAAAAAGTTCGGTTAAGGCAAATTTCAAAGTGAGATCGCTATGTTATACAGCATATCTACGCATTATTGGCGATACAGTCGCAATATAATTAATAAGAAATCGATTTCAAGGCGTATAAAGCTCTTTTCAACCTGGAACATGTTCAAAGAATTAATTAATTACTTACTGCGGTTACATTTGATATTATTATACCATCTTTGTTACCATAATTATTAAGTTGGATTCACAACTTCGCAAATAGCTATAAGCTATGCATTTGACAATTACCATCTGAATTCTGAAACCGTTTGATAATGCATTTGAAAGTCGTCCGCGATTAAAGACCTGTGGTATGGGTTGACTCCAGTTATAATAGCAAAGGGAAAATTTTAATGCCTTATCTTACTCTTATAAAGTGAATTTAATACTGCTTACGATTTGCTTAACTTGTTATAACATTGTACGTAGAAGCACAATAATAAGGAAAATATTGAATGATACTGCATATGCTTCTCGAGTTTTATTCATGTAGCTGCAATAAGCCTTTACTAAGTTCCTTGACCATTTATGAAGATTACTATAAAAAGTGTGACTTTATCAAAATTTGCAGGTATCAGCATATACCACTATTACACAAATAAAGGAAAAGAATCTGCAAAGTTTTCATAACAATACGATTACCGCAGATAAAAGATAGAAAAATTAGCTGCTTTCATGCATTGCCTTAAATGGTGAATATACTAGCCGATTGTACATTTTTACTGAAAAAATTCTTTGTAGACAACTCAGCTGTTGCTTTTCTATTAGACTTGATTTCCTTTCTATAATCTGTCGTTGTTGTTTTTAATACCTTGCATTTATTTAGTATTATCAATTTCTATAATATATTCATATATATAGCCATTTGGTTGCTAAATTTCTTATGCTCTTATCAACCGATCTACTGATCAGTCTGTTCATAATTCAATGGTATTTCTACCATATTAAGACTTGATCTTAAATATTATTAATCTTTGCTCAGTTATAGCTGAAATTAATCATTTCTTTACTATAATAGAGCGACATATTTAATATCCATTTGAATATAATGAATAAAGCGCAACCTTGGCTTCATTATACTCTGCCGTTGAAATTAATTTATTGCTGGCATAAAAGTCAATCAATTATTTTTACTGCATGATTTAGTATAGTAGTAAGCTAAGATATTCATTGAATTGCAATAGTATTGTCGATTGAAATTATTTTGTAGCACTTTCAATGAACTTGCATCAAATTTCTCAGGATCGGGATGTAAACATATAAATGAAGGCCCCTGACTTGCATACAAACTATTGAGTAACTATATACAACCCATAATTTTTATTAGCAATGCTAAATTAGGTTATAAGCTATCTAAAGTAATATTAAAGATTGCTTCCCCTGACATAAATTATATCTCTTGTTTTAACAAAAGTGAACGCTGTCTCTGATTTATGACCTTAAGTTGTACTGTACTGACTATTGAGTTAGCGTAGTCCAGTATATACCTAATACAATGCAGGCTTAGAATTAGATATAGTCTCAAGCATAGTAAGGATGAAGTAACCAAGATCAGTAAGGAAGCACATACGAACAAGCGTTAATTTAAATAAAGAAAGGGAATTTATTTATAACATAAAAAAATCAAATTTCAATTCCAGCAGAAAATTATACAAGAATAATAAATTCTTATGATACATATATTACCAATATCAACAATATAGTTAATCAGTTTATAAACACTAATACACAGATCCGGTATAAAAGAAATATTTATATCTATCTGCAGTAGATGGGCAGATAGTTCGTTAACGAAATTTAAAATAACTTCAATAATCCTCCATACGTAAGAGATATTCATTACTGAATCATTTGATGATACTAAATCTACTTCATTTATACTGTATAATGTGCGAATTCTCTGGTACATTGTAATAGCAATGATGATTATATTTACAACATTATCATGTGCAAAGTGAATTCGGTAATTTAAAAACAAATGGTATCTATATATAACAGCTATACAAATATAACTAGATATTGTTATTCGTAGCTGCTACCAATGAAAGTGAAAGTAAATTCGACTTACTCTGTAATATTAATTTTTAAAATCAGGAAGTTTATGTATTACCATTCAAGGAAGGAACGTAACTCAACACTTCTTCGAAGCCGCAACTTAAGCCTCCTTTATGATTTTATTGCGAACTGCTATAAAAATACTTTTAAAGTAAAAAATTTTTAACCTCTTGCTTTTGCTAAGAAGTTAAAATTTTCGATTAAGAAACGGCTATACAGTACAATATTGAAAATAATTAATTGGTAATAATATTCTTTTTCCGTTACAAACATTTCATATTTGCAAATTTAGCAATTAATATCGATTAGTTGCTGCTAATAAAAGGATAAGCTACAAATGATTACGGTATATGACTTATATCATTCTGATATTGTTATCACAAATACCTATATGTAATATCAAAATAGGTCGAGGTGCTTTCTACCATGATATATCAAACTGCTGAGTGAAAATTCAGCATTATGCTGAACTGATTTTTGTGACTGTGCCAACATATATCCATAACGACAATACGGAATTTGGATAAGCATGGATATGAGTAGCTAAAGCAAATTCGACATCAGGCGATTCAACAGTATGCACTCCCGTACTATAAACCGCGTCAATGACTGGTTCTATGTCAGTATAAGGCATATGGATGGGAAAACCGGATAGCTACAATTGAATATGAAATAACTATTATTCATAGTACGAATTTATTAATATGTACAGCATTGCTATTCATGATATGCAGACACATATAACTGCATTTCTAACCTTATAGCTATCTAGGATATGGCTAAGTTCGTTTAAGTGTCGTTCCTCTGAGGCATTTCTTCTTGATTCTTCAAGACTAATCATTTTTCAAAAGAGAAATTACCTACATGCCTACAGCTAGATGACTACGTTATGCTATTAATTGTTAATAAAAAATTGGAAAAATTATTAGCTGACTTACTTGCTTAGAATATTACGAAATGCTCTTGTGCAATACCTATTTTGTCAATAAGAAATTAAAAAAATAATCAGACACTTCTATCAATTCGTCATTGGCAAACGTACAGTTCGAAATACAGCCTCAGCTTATAATCATACCTGTTCCATCTCGTTACAAAACGTCTCCTCCAGGACATAATGCTCTCTTTCAAAACTAGTTCAATCCTTTAATAAAATAGGTCATAAGTATTAGACGAAAAATTTAGATTATATCTTGCTAGAAAATTTGCTTCTTTTGAAGAATTTATTTTCTACCTTTCCTCGAGTTCTCCAACATAATTGGAATCGGTAGCATGATATACCAATGTTTCTTCCTATATATGAATAAATCATCATTTAATTATTTTTTTCCACCTTGTTCTAGGTATCAAATTATCAATTCTCAGCACGTTTGCAAGAATTAAATTGATTGTACATTAGTTAATACTTATTTTAATAATATAGCATTACTGACTTGTACACTACTCAAGCCGGGATATGGAAAAGAGCTATTAAAGAATGGTTTCCATAGTTTTGTATTTGTAGTATCCATGCTCATTCTTGACGGGATATCATTACTTTGAATATTGGCATAAACCTAAAGTGTTAATAATATCAGACGATTAATTCACATATAGCTTTTTAAATCAATTTACGTAGACGAGTAGTGACTTATTTATGATTGCAAAAACGACTATTACCATGACTACATATTAGGATACTACTGCAACCTATTAAATTTATGACTTTATCGTAGCAAAACTATTTATTTACATTATCTCGACCAATTAAACATCCAATACTCTGTAATGGGCAATGCGCGTCATGTTGACGAAAATGGTCACCAGTACTAGCATTCCAAAACATAAAATCGCCATTTGCTTCTTCAGAAACAACGTATGCCGTCGAACCTAATCGCACATGTCAATCAATCAATTTATTCCTTAAATTAGAATTCTGCTATGACTTACGCATGATAAATACATATTTTTTCAAAAATAGCATGAATTATTTAAGCAATATAGGTATAAGATTTGTTACGTACCTTCAGGAATTCCCATCCCTAGAGCTATCCAAGCTTTCTTACCCATATACAGAAAATAATTGCATAGTAATACAGCATGTTCTTCTTCATCTCCGGCTAACATTTGCAAAAATTGCTAAAAAGTAACAGTATTTAAGTATATTTATTATATAACTCATTAACACATTGGTGCAAAGAAACAATGCTAGTCAAGATTTCAAAAATATTGTTACTATTGACTATTGACTATTGCTATCTTTGCATCTAGCTTAACAACCAAAAGTGGTATACTCACACTGGATGTGCTCCAGATATCACAAAGGCCAGCAAATGAAACGGAGTCGGATATGAAAGGGATAAGGGAGACAAATCGAGCGACCGTTTCCTATGTAGTAAATTGATTATATAAAAGATTTAATGACATTCTATATTGTAATATAAAAATTTATGGCCATAGTTGCTTACAATAATAACTACGAAATATATATTATATATGAAGTGTACATTAATATTATATTTAAAAATTTAACAACATCAATAAGAGTATAAAAGCACTTACCGAATTCTCAAGAGTTGGTTCTACGCCTTCTTGATAAACTTCTACCGGAGGATTTTGCGGTGTGATATAGCGAGTTACAAAGACTGACATGCCATTGATATCGGTTACTAAAATCTGTTAAAAATATCTCATATGAATAAAGATTGCATAACTTGATAACATCTACATTAAAAATAGAAATAGCTTAAGTAATAAACATTACATTAATTTCTCGATTGGAAAATTTGGATTCGAATTCGTTTAACCAAGTTTGCGAATACTTTAACAACTTTATATCTTCTTTACTATCGAACTAAAGAAAGAATATTATTAGTAGCTCTTAATCAACTTAAATTTTTAGAAACCGTTACCCGTTAAAACCTATTTCATCAATCGGTCATAAATTCAAATTATAGCAGCAATGTTTTTTCAAACAAGCGATACCTTTTCTTTGATGGATGGTGGTGGTGCTAGTGGAGGTTCGATAGTAACGAACATACTAAGGTAAGTTTGACTACGTGAGCCTTTTCCAACGTCCAATAAAGCCTGGCCACTTTCAACTTGTGCACTTTTAGCGTGACTATATCCCAGCAGGACAGTTGGTGAATTAATTCGAAAAGATCCCTCGATCTATTGTATAAATAAAATGTATTAGAATATACATATAACCTATCTGGTCTTGTTTTTTCGAGGAAATCATACAAAAGTGTTCAACTTTTATCGCATTAGTGAGAGTTACAGTTTAATTCAAATCGTTATTGCTTACCCGAGAGTTAGTATATAGTGTAGAAAATGGAATCCTGATACTACCGAGCCAATGTCGTTCCTTACGACGATGAATATTGGTACCTCTTTCGCGATCGTCCTGTATTTAAAATGATCATTAAAACGCATATGCGACTGTTATTTTAAATAACTAGGCACTACTACCGGTACTTCTCCAATAAGTTTTAATCACCAGTTTTAATTCGCTATAGGAAATAATTTTTGATTTAAATTATTACTTACTGAGAGCATATCTATCACTTCTTCATCGAATAGATTGAAGTAAATATCGTCGTTTACGGTCATTAAATTATTGGACGAGTAGTCATCGTGTGGAGCTCTTCATTAAAATAATTGTGAAATGAAATTTAAATTTCGGTCAAGAACTGTATATTCAAAATTTTGTGAAAATATAATAATCATTTTAATACCGTAGATATCGTAATTTTCTATCGTATCATAAATAATTTATGATAGAGCAAATAGAGAATAATTTTACTGCAAAATCCAGTCGTTATAAGTACGGTAACAAGTACTGCAAATGGCAATAGTTCTTACCTAAATGGCATAACAATCTGTTGATTCCATGCTGGATTGGGGCCATCAGCAACTTCTGTTCTGCGAATATTTCGTTGAAACATAACCTCTACAAAAGGCCTAACTTGAACCTAAATACGAAACGATCAAATATGCCTCTGAAGTTAGCTATGCATGGTAGGATAAAGAAACTCATTTTCTTTAATGTTGTGATTTTATATATTAGATATTCTTTCTTAGAGGAATATAAGTGGGCTTAGTTAGATTTGATAGTATGAGTCACCTCTGTTTGTAATTCTTCTGCATCTAAATTTCTGATTCCTCTTATATCAGTTGTATTATCATGCCGCATAGTACTTTGAGTCTGATCATCCGATCTATAATTAAAGATTTTCTCATTGGTTAGCTCTATACCATCATAAATACTCAATATACGAGTATCTTCTACTAGTGAGCAATATCCTCGATAATTAATTCAACTGCACATAGTCATTATCTCATTTACGTAAAGCATATCTTCTGTGTACCTAGGATGGTTTTTCCTAATCGGTATATCGAAGGCTCGTACCACGTTAACAAGAATCTTGACATTCATCATTCCCAAATGCTAAAGTTAAGTAAATAATTTATAGGATTATTTTCAGTGAGAAATATCGATTTACGGCATTCAAAACAGCTGTTGTACCACTGCAATAATCACTAGATGATAATGTACCGCTTGGTATTTACAATATTGGTCGATAAAAACTTTTCAGATAACTTACTTGCGCAGCTATTTTCTTTCTCTCTTTACGGACAGGACGAAGGGGTCTACGAGGCTTAAGCAACTGACCAACACTTGCCCCGAGTGTTCTAAAAGACGCGAATTGATTAAAAATATATTTCTTAAGCTATTAAATGACATTATGTCTTCTCCTGAATTTGTCATCTATAGCAAAATTTCTAATAATACCACGAATGAAGTGAAATTATGATAACATCTCATTATTGGTCATTACCCAATATCCGGTAAGAAATCTTCTCGAACAACGTCGGATAACTGATATTGTCGCTGAGCGATTCGAGATCGCTGTAAAACTTCTTCGCGTACTTTAGACAGAAAACGATTGACTCTCTCTCGATGTGATAAAGCAGTCAAATCTACCTTCTCATCTTCTTCTAAACGCTTGTAATAATCCTATTTAATCAAACGTGAAATTTTAAAATGAGAAGATTACAAGCAAGATAATCGAAACTACGTTTACATGTAGTGTAGTGTAGCTATTAATAAGGGGGGAATGAGAATTTCAGTTATCATACCAGTTATATTATCAAATAGCATTGCAGTATAAGGGATAAAGCAAAGAAATGCAATATCAATGATCTACAAACGCAATCATCCCCAGTATAGATATATTTATGTATCAAAATCGTTAAACTGAAAGAGAACTAGAGGATAGCATAAGCAAGTGGTCACTGATGGATTTTGTAATTTACCAATGAAAGGTTATCATTTTAAACGTAATAGAAATCATCATAATTTATTTTCCACCAATTCGTTTAACCTATTGAGCTGAGAAGGAATCTATCATAATGTTGTGGCTGTGCCCTTAAAAGATATATTATTTTAACTGAAAGTAATATCGGCTACTAATTACTGTAAATATAGCAAACATTACCCTGAGAATATCGTCAGGAATATCAATATCCCTAATTGGCACTTGCTTTAAGTTACGAAATTCTGATGCCTCCTGACTTCTTAGCTTTAATATTTTAAATCGTTTACTCTTGTCAATATCTTCTTCTGTACCCAAATCACTTTCATGACTTAAAGAATTAAGCCGGAAATAATCTGGTAAATAAACTTTGCCGTCTGGGCTAACACCGCATGCCTATAAATGAATATTAAGATTTAGTACTGCGTATTTCTTGTATATTCCCTTTACATTTTATTTTGGTCATTTCTTGAAATTTAATTCAATCATGTATTTGTTGCTAAAGAAGTAATGATACCAGTTGTATAGTATACAGTCTTCAAATTACCCTCAAAATGTCGAGCAAGGAATCATTGGCAGGGTCATTGGGATCCAGACGTGATTGAACTGTTACATTATATCAAAGAGCAAGTATAAGGGATGATATTATTAATTATTATAAATTGCAGGCAACACAATTATGTTATAGTTTGTGGTAAATCTACACTGAAGTATCAGGTAGCAATCGAAATTTTAAAAATCAATTGTAAAGGTATACCTATCCAATCCATTAACTTTTGAATGTCAATAATGCCTCTGGCGCCAATAGCTGCAACAGCATCAACACGTTGCATAGCTCTAGTAGAAGTAGATAAATTACTTAGATATAAAATTACTTAATCTTAAATTTAGCTTATTATAGACGCATAATTCTAGTCCGAGAGGTTTAAGAATTCATTTTAAGCAAATGATAGACTAAACAGTAACTGAATTTACCATAAATCTATAAAAGTTTAACGATAATTATTTTCATAGTACTACATTTGTATAAAAAATATTACAGCAAATAGTACGGTTTTGTCACTTAAATAATTTTCTTAAATAGTGTTACTTCTATATTAAAAGAAATTTTACAAATCTAATCAGAACGGAGCAATTTAAAATGCTGTGCGACTGCCTAAATAATTGCTAAAGTACTTAAGAATCAATATAGTACTATAAGAAGTACCAATTCTAAACTAAAAGTAATCCAGAAGAAAATAAATCTACATATTACTTACTGCTTTTCTTTGGAAACAGAAGGAATTGCTGGCATCATTGGGCAGCCATTCTCGTCGACAGACCAAACCACATTAGAGTAAATGTCACCCGACATTAATAAAGTCATTGGATGTTCTGATCCTGTTGCGGTCACGGACACACCTAAATATTTTAGTTTAATACGGCGTTATTTTGGACATTTTGGCTCAATTTTAAGTGTATCTGCTTAACCGTAACTAGTATAGTAAAAAATTTAAAATATACTAAAGAATTACCCGCGCCAACACCAGTATGATTGTATGAAATCTTCAAGTCACTACTAAATTGGAATGCCTCCGGCTCTGGATTTAATCCAGCGTGAGACATCGAATTTGGTGGCGGTATAAATACTTGAGCAATTAATCTACTACTAATTATACCTGCTTCATATAGCTGTACAGGATCAAAAAGAATCATGACGTTCAGCATGCTAAAAATTATATTAGTTCTATTAAAAGAAAGTTAACTGAATGTTCCAAATTAGCTATAAAGTCTACTTTCAATTTGTCAACTAATCCACTTTATCAGACCTCAAGTTTGATGTTTTCCGGCCACTGTATGATTTTAGCTTTACATATTTCACCAAAATGGATGTTAAAATCACCAGTTAAAGCTTTCGTTGCACTTCTATGCACCTCATTATCATTGAACAAAATACGGATGTAGGCATGCCATTCTTGCACCTCGCGACGTCTTTGAGCTTCGGCTCTTTTTCGTAAAAATAAATAATTTTAAATTCAGTTAATAGTTTTACACAGTCATCTTGCCTCTTCTATATATATTTAAAAATGTTACATAGTGGCAAATTGCAGTGAGGTCTTATTTACTTAATTTATTAATGATAAAAATAAATAAACTAGACATAAATTACAGTTGCACGCTCTTGGGTAGCCTGATATGATTATACCGTATATAGAAGAGTTTATCATAAACAAAATTCTAAGCTAGTCTGATTATTGAATACATCAAAAATATTGATTGTAATCGTTAGGCCATAGTATTAACTAGTAAAATGGAGTTATCAAATACTATCCTATCAAGAATGTAAATATAATTTACTTTGGACATTTAGAGGTTGGCGATATAGGCACGGTATTAACAAGTTCAGGAAATAATATCGCTTCACCAGGACGCCTGCGACACTTAATTGCATTTTCTTTAATTTCAATCAGGGCTTGCTGCTCATTAAAATTATCAGGCGGTACAGGCTTGAATAAGTCGGTTCCTACTACTTCATCTTCTGCTGGATTTTCTTCATCTTGTTGCTGTCGTTGTTTACGTTTTTTTCTTCGTTTCTTGCCTTTATTCTTTCTTTTCCATTCTTTTAATTCTTTTTTATAATTCGCTAATTTTTCTTGATATTCTTCGTCGAAAAATTCCCTACGCAAGCAAGTTACGACAGCAATAATGAGATGAAAAATTATTGCTTTACATTTTATTATTCATCCTTTTTAAATCTAAAATCTAATATGCTAAAAGAGCTAGTACTAATCGAGGAATGTTTACAATTTCATAATGGCTGATTTTTACGTCCTGTACCTCGCCTCTTCTAACTCATCTTTAATTTCTTTATCCCATTTTACTGCATCTTCCTTTTTATCAACTATTTTTTTATGCATAATTAATTTAGTTGAAGTATTAGCATATCCCTGTTTCTCACGTAACTGTTTTAGTTCGTTCCATGTTGTTATCATGCTTTTAATTAAGGATCGATCTTTGTAATCTTCGCTGTCTCGCATTCGTCTTACGTTACTAATAAGAAATCAAGGTTATATTACATATATTTGTAAAAAAGTGATTACATAGAGATACCTAGATTTGGGCAAGTAGCTGCAACACAGTAATTTAACATTTAATAAATCAACTTATCAATAACTGCCGGCTAATTTAATGTATACATTTCTATATGCTTACCTAACTTCAAACTTATAATCTTTCAATCGATCGGTAGCTTGTATAGCGATTATATCTTCACTATGATGGCTTTTGATTACATGCTGTAGATTAAAAATAGCTTCCTTTAAAGCTTGTAATTTACCAGTATAATAATTTGCTGTGTTGCCTTTTTTACGCTGACAGTATTCGTAATATTGCCGAAGAATTCGAAAGTGAAAAACGTGTTCATGACTATAATAAATAAATCATTAATAGTAGAGTAATTAGATGCCTGTATAATATAATGCAATTTTACTTCGGAAACATAAATTTTGGCTTGATCATCTCGCCTATCGTAGTCATTAACAGAAGGTTCTGATTATCATTAAAAGCTAACAGCGCCTTAATATTGGCAGGATATAACAATTTGTGAAATACTTAAAATCAATACCTCATTAATGGATGATGTGTAAAGGTAAGCGACGATAGATTAATATCTAGCTGATAATCTTGAGATTCTTTAGCGTTTGATTTTACATAGCTATCTTGTGAAGTCACAATGGGCTGCAAAAGTGTTAATAAGTGCTAAATTGTTATGAAAACGCTCTTTTTATTCGTATTTTTGTATCTTTACTTAAAGAAATATTTATTCCAATTAAATTTCGACAAATGATAAAGGAATAAAACTAAGATTATACATTTTAATTGATGATACAAAACATTAGTCGTTAATCATAGCATAAAGTAACAACTTAAAAACATAAAATGGTTATAATATTGTCCTGCTGCTTACCTTAACATAATCTAATTTTAAGCTAGATTCTTCATCATCTTTAAAGAGAGCTATTACAGGACGAGTTACTTTTTGCTTTAACGGATCCGCTAAATATTTCAATCTTCCACCTTGATCAAACCATTTCGTTCCCTATAATGATGATTCATAATTCAGTCAAAATATCACTTCCAAATCTGATATTAATAATAACAATCTAAATTGTGATATATTTTCATTTGATAACATAACTACATCTCCAATTAATATATCGTGACGGTTTCTTAGTGTCAATCTAAAGTAAAAATAGTATCTATTATTTTTACTACAATTGTCATTAAGTTCAATATTTCTAATGAGCCAAAAATAAAAAACTTTTAGAGCTAAACTCTTAACTATACATATACTTTTAAGCATTATACATCATAAATATCGCTAAATTTTTTGATTTAACTTTGAAAATGGTATTATGTACAATTGTTACGATCATAATATAAAACTCTGCTTCCGAATAATCGTGAAATATGTATTTTCTTTACTACCTTACCTTATTGGCTTGTTTTGATATACGTTCTTCAATAAACCTGATATTGCGTGTTGTCACGGCAGGTTGATCACCAACATAAAATCCCTCGTCTTCTAAAAGACGAGGCTCTGCTTTGGTATCTTCAGTTTTTTGACTGAAATCAACACCATTAACACTGGGTATATAGTATATTTGATTTTCTTTTTCTAGTCTTTCTTTAAATGGTACATATCTGGCTTTAAGTGGGCGCGTTAATTTCCCATCGTCGTCTAATAATAAATCTTCAGTTTCGTCTTCCGTTCCTGCTGGTTGCTGGCTTTCAGCTTGATCTTCGTCATCTCTTGCCTTTAATATTATTATCACAACTTCAATTGTAAGAGCCATAATATGACTGAATTAAATATCATTAAAATAATTGTTTTAATACCTGAGTTATCTCAGGTTCTTGACTAGCATCATCTGGTCTTGATTCTTGATCGTCTGGAGTACCTCTTTCTTCCAGGTCTTTTCTAGAATGGGAGTCCTCTTCTTTAATATCAGTCAGTTTTGGTTTCGTAACAGTTGGGGTTTCTTTCCTAACGAAATCGTCTTCATCATCAACAAAGTCGAAATTACCAGTAAAAAATGCCAGTCTTTCTTCATATGTTGGCATTGGCGTCTGAAAATGAGCAAATGTTGATAATATGAAACATTAATTTTTTGCAAGAGTAAGAAATTTTATTTGCAACGCTTTGAATCACCTACCCCATCAGCTGTTTTTTTGCGTTCACCAGTACGACGCCAACGTGCTGATAGTTGAGCAGAGCGTTCTAATGTTGAATCCATTTGTTCATCATCATCTCGAGGTACTGGACTGATAGTCCCCAGCTTGTGAATTAAAAGAAGTTATAATTAGGCTAAGAAAGCAAGAATTACTAGTAGTCTAGTAGGATTATAGCTAGCAAGTAAATAGTGATTTTAGCTAATAGTTGCTCTAAAATCTTACCGTAGGATCATCGAATCGAGTCATTGTTACCGTATCTCTAAGATCACGCAAACGTGAAACTGGACGCTAAATGAAATTTAAATTAATTTAAAGGTCAGAAATGATAATTAATAAACACTATCTAGAGTTATAATGTATCAAAGTTTAAGTCACGATAGAATAAGACGGACTAAATAAGCTCATAATTTACTTCGCTTTCGTCCTCCATATTTTCCTATTCGATCATATAGTGAATTTTTGGTGGCCCATATTCATATGAGGGAAAAAATTCAAAGATTACAACTCAAATTTTTAAATTTATAATCAAAAGCTTTTTTCTTTTTATAATTTACAATATATACGCGTATAATGTTATCTTAATAATCTAATTGAGCTATTAGATTTCTTTCGTAGAATAAATGTAATGACACATTGATTATATCTTTGCTACTATCTCACAAATTGACGGAATTTAAAATTCTCATATATGCGTAGTATTCTACATATAAGTGTATACAACTTGCAGTTGCTTTAAGACATCAAAAACTGAGGTAAGATGAAAATCATGGTAGTATACAAATTAATGGTTTTGTATGAGAAAATTAAGATACTTATAAATTTCTTTGGTAGAATACAACTTTAAAATAATTTACGTTCTACTGAATCATGCCGAAAGTTAATGACATTTGAGATAAATTTTACGGAGGGTGATAGTCGCAAAACAATACCTCATACTAACTCTACTTTCGATAGCACTAAATTAGCAGCGTAAACATGCATGTGAAAGTATACTATTGACAACTTGAATTGAATGTAGGCTGTTTCTTATCAAAATAGCAGAATAGTGCTCTTGTATTATGGAAATGACATTATTGTGATAGATTAAAATAGTTAAGTCAGGTAGACCTGCTACTTACAGCCTCCATTTCGATAACTTTACTACGCAACTTGTCGCGCAAATTAGTAGTAAGAACGCCTTCATCACTTTGTCGCTGGCTATTATCCTCTACAGCTAGACTTTTAGGACGGCCAACAGTTATAATTCCTAATCAGTAAATTATATTAATAGAGTCAGAAGATAATTACATTAACTGAAAAGACTGGCTCTGTATTAGCTATTATAAACACGCTTAATAAAGCCTAAATACCTCCAATGCCAGTGTTTTTATTCTCATTATTTTCACTTTCTGCTTCACCTCCATGATCACTATCTTGTATCTATTGTGAAAAACACTATTAGTGAGCCTAGGGTCATCTTTGCGATATACAGTGATTTGATTACGCATAGCAGAGATATTTTCGTGTCACACAAAACTCTCAGGATGTCTTACGTCTTGTATCCGCTGGAGTCTTCGTTGATTTAAAGATTCTAACATATTATTAGAAGCCTAAATCATTAAATAATGAGAATATTGATGATGGATTCTTGTCTAAGATTTAACAATTGCTCTAGACTTATTTGAGGGCATCATGACACTTTTTTTTAAACTAACATTTAACTTGGCAGATTTCGCTTTCTGACTTTCATTCATTGATGACATTTCCATCCAATTTGATGCATCACTACCGGAATCCTTTTGCGGATTTTAAATTGAAACATGTATTTTAAGATTTTACAATAAATGAAACATAAAATACGATAGCCTAATCTGACAAAGGGTCTGGTCACGATGTTATCATTAAGACCGTAGACCAAGGGTTGGCTATGTCTGTATTAATTTTAGCTGTGGTTTTAAGAGTGCCATCTGAGTGTATTAACGATAAATATAGTACCCGTATTATAGCTTCAATAGTACTAATGAATATTATCAGCTAATATTTAGTAGTAATAATATTAATTGATAGCGTGGATGATATAGCTATACATTATGATAGAATGTGCACCGTTGTGATACACTATATAACACTTAATGTCGCAGGATAGTACATACGTCTAGGTTATCTAGACATTGAAATTTGTGCTTACTTGTAGTGTCACTTCAAGAGCAGCCCTTCTCTTCTGAAGTTGGCTTACCATATCAACACTTTGAAGAAAATACAACATAATTAAGACACGTATAGTCATTAAAAGCATACTCCCCAAAAAGGATAACTATATAACCTTGATTATGCGATTTAAAAATGAATTTTATCTCTAGAGATTAGCAATAATCATTCTAATACTAATTTAGACTCGGTATGTCCTATGTAACCTATGTCATATGCTGTAACGTATCCAAGCAACAAGATATCCAAAATTAAGTGTTGATAAACTCTATAACAACTTTGTCTTCTTTCTAAACAACAATATTAGCCATCTTAATTTGGTACTAGTACGATTACATGGATAAGATTGTTATTTGTCTTGATAAGGATGTTGCTATTAGGGTAAATTAACATTTCGTTTATGCACGTAGAGAGCGGTCTAAGATATCATCGACCCATTCATGAAGATATCTTACAAATTATGTTGCTATAGCAAGATCAATACAGCATACCTGGAAGCCATATTGAATTCTCCCTGTAAACGTATTTCTTTTCTGATCAATGTTGAATGGATTATTTCAATTTCAGGAATGCATCATTACTACCGTACTACTGTACTACAGTCAATTACAATAACCGTTATTTATTTATTAACAGTAGTATACAGTAGGTAAATTTATAAATTCAATTTGGTTTTACAATCCATGGAATTGTGGAATACTGTAGTGTACAGTACAATGCACTCTATAGTACTGTACTGTACCGAACGCGAAGAATCATTTTGCGCTAAGATTCGTGCAAACGAAATACGCATGTCTGTAGTACTGTACAGTACGCCATGATTCATGCAAACGAAATACGCATGTCTGCTGTACTGTACGCTACAGTACTGTACTGTACTGTACAGTATACTATACTGTACAGTACAGTACAGGTTGTTTTTTTTTTTAATCACTGTACTGTACCCGTGTAGATACATGACGTCATTCAATTCACTTCAATTTTGGCATCTCATCGATTGATTATATAACGTCATTAAACTTATCGCAGTGTGCTTGTATTAGCTTTGACTAATTATAATTAATGAACAACGAATAGTCGCAGCAAAGATGCAGCCTACACTTTATTATTTGCATACTATGTCCAATGCAATCTGTTATGTACTTGTGATATTGAACTTTACAGTATACAGAGTATTATAGACAGAAAATAATGGGTAAAAATCAATCCAGTCGTTATTGGCTTAAAGTGTGTTTACAATCGTTCAATCCCATTCTACCTAGCCTTTACTTATTATTACTGAACAATTCAGTGGTAAACGAGTATCTATCAATTGAATTAGCAGTCACACATTACTTATTGTGCTCCCGTGCTGTAATACTGATGTAGTCATCACTATTTCAAATGATCTTTGACCAATGACTCATCCCAATTGATCTGGAATAATTATACGTGTGTAATGATAATTGTTCTTAAGAATATAATCATTCAGTATTGATTATTTATCATTGATGATATTATATGAGTCATGAACATCAAAAGATATGAGTCATAGAATTATCTCTTCTTTCATATTATACCTTTTCGTGGTATTTATCATTCAATCATTACCGTCAGAGAGTACGATAGTTAAATAGATGTTAACGAATATAATGGAAAGACTTGTAGATTCTCTAGTAAAATCATTGTAAGCATATTGATATGTACCAATAGACAACTGTTCTCCTATCCTGATCAGAAATGAATGACTCAGTACGCTACAGACTTAAATGTTGTCTCGTCTAAAAGTTGTAAATTTTATAACCAAGTATTTCTGACTGGATTGTCCTCTCTTTATGATATTGCTGAAGATAAGGCAATTAACTCTTCGAGATAACCTTAGTTTACATTGACAACAAGACTAATAATTATAATCCATTGTTTTAGTGAAATCATAACCTCTCCAATTTTAAAATTTCAGTTTTACAGCAGGTGATATAATGTAAATTCAATATACCAAGTGCGCAATGTTAGTAAATTCGCCTAAGCATGGTTTTTAACATAACTAGCGCGAATGATTATCATTGTGATGTGCCTCCAACGCCGCTGGGCGACACACCTCATTTATTTTCCATATCCTCTAAAATTGTGAATTCAATACTATCAAATCCTTCAACAATAATAAAACATACGTTTAGACCAAAAGGAATAATTACATGATTACCATATAAGTATTTTTTATTTTATACGATATAATTTATGGAGGATGCAGAATTTATACAAACTAGTGCAAACTCCCGTCGCTTTACTGACGGTTTACGATAATGTGCTCATTTAACAGAGGTTCAGCAACTTTATACCGTACCGCGTAACCTTACGAGAAAAATGAAATATTGCTTTTGGCACAATATACATACGATTAACCACGTATAAGTCATGCTAAAAAAGAGAGAAATAATTTTTTGACAAGATATTG